AAAAAAAAAAAAGAAGTGTCTTGGGAATACTACCATAATGCGCTAGGTCTCTATCCAAATAACGATGGTCCCTAATATAATTTCAGTACATCTTACTACAGTGTGATTATTCTCTGGAATGACAATCTCTACACAATTCCCCTAGTTATATCATTAAAAACCAAAAAACCATAATAAACTCTTTTATTTATGTGTATGTGAATATTTAATGAAAAGAAGAAAGCATTATTTCTATTTGGGGTAATGTCGGGCTATGAAATCAGAAAGACATAAGTTTTGCTTATAATATTTGCAAATATCAGCTTTGCTGCTTACTAGGTATTCTGTATTACGTAGGTTAAGAAGTCCTAGCGCACAGATCCTAATTCTAGTTTTTCTGTTTACTAGCTATGTGATCTTAAGTTACCTAATCTTTCTTGCCTACAAAATAGAAGAGTGTTTCCTACTACTACTAAAAAAAAGCATATTTCATATATAGCTGCTTTAAAAATTCAGTATGTAAAGTTTTTTTCTTTAAGCTTAGTAACTGGCACATAATATACACACACATTGCAGACAGTAGTAGTTGTTATTAGCATGCGCACATACACAGGCTGTTTGGAAAGTAGCCATGTAATATGAAAAACAGAGACACATACGGCTGGATACTTTCTTGATAGTCCTCATATATTTTTCCTTTCTTTTTTAAGTTAACAACTATGAGAATGATTTCTTTAACAAATACTTCCAAAATGTTAAGTCTTTAAAAACTATATTTGCTAACAAAAACAGACAATTTTACTTAAGGAAAACATCGAGTCCTACCTTTACACTGCATTCCTTGGCGAAAGAGGCCTTTCAGTAACCGCTTGCAGTACTGACATATTGTGGGACGAGTATAAGAGTGAACAGCAAATGTGTGTGGAACTTTCACTCTGCACATTACCATCTTTTCCATCCAAATTGGGCGACCACTCCATGAAGGAATTCTCTTACTTGGCTCTTGATGAACATGTGACTAAAATATAAGTAATTTCCATAAGTTTAAGAAAAAATTAAAAATAAAATATTGGGAGCAAAGCTTAACCACAAAAATCATTTATTGGAACACTGAAGCCAAATATCTGAAAATGTAAATCTCAGCAGTTTCCTGTACAAAGCTTAATTCACCAAACTCTGAATGAGAAAAATGCAGATTTTTGTTCGTATTTATGCTTAAAAAACCCTAAAATATGTTCATTCTTGTGTACATACTCACTGATTAAATATTCTTTGGCATGTATAGTCAGCATTTTACAAATAAAACCTAAAAGCTTTAAAATGAATTTACGACAGGTGTTCAAATCCCTTCAAAAACATCATGCAAGGAATTAATCACAGAAAAAATAAATAAAATCACAAAATAGAAAGCAATATCATTGCTGCTCATATTGCGTTACTGAACATGATGTCTGAAAGTAACCTTAGTTTTTTAAGTTTCTCTTAACAAATAAAATTTTAAGTCTAATTAATAATGATGAAATAAATGGCAGATCCAAAACTAATTAAATCAACTTTAGTCCCAGTAACTAGGTTTTCAGAAGTTCCTATATTTTAAATATTTTCCATTTGTTTGAGTTTTTCCCTCACTTGAACAAAAAGCAAAATTACAGAAAGCATCAGTTAAAAATCTTTTGGTAACCTGAGGGATAAGTGGATTTTTGTAATTATGGCTCTTTCTATATGTAGGGAATAATCAAACTAAATTGCAGCCCAGTTTAATGTGGTGCATTCCATTAATTCAACAACATTCATATGACAGGCCTTATGCTGTTAACAGAGGGAAAAAAAAAACAGAATAAAACATAATCCAAGTCCTCAAGTACAAAATCTAAATACTCAACTACCATAATGCTTTAATAAATTTTGTTGAAGGCGGGCACGGTGGTTCACACCTGTAATCCCAGTACTCTGGGAGGCTGAGGTAGGTGGATTGCTTGAGCTCAGGAGTTTGAGACAAGCCTGAGCAAGAGTGAGACCCCATCTCTACTAAAAATAGAAAAACTAAGGCAAGAGGATCACTTGAGCCCAGGAGTTTGAGACCGCTATGGGCTATGATGACACCATGGACCTCCACCCCGGGTCACAGAGTGAGACTCTATTGCACCACCACCCCCCCCATCTTTATTGAGCCTGCTTGCATCTTCACTGCCAGAACTGAGGTCCTGAGATCTTTTTTATTATTTTCTATAAGTAGTAAGGTTTGTAACTTAGAGAAGTTGTGTCATTCTACATTGGTGTGTTCAATTGAGGGAAGCAAAAGTTAGAAGAAACCAGGAGATAGTATAAGTATAAAGAAGAAGAAAGGAAAGGAGAAAAATAATGGAAGTAGGAAGAAAAACAGACAAAACAAATCGGGGAGAGCACTGACACAAAAGGAGCCTCAGGTTGATAGTTTCTTACTTACATGTAGCCAAAATTTTCTAAAATGAATTATGAAAGTTTTATTCAGGAAAAGAAAAAAAAAGAGTATGAAAACCCAAACCACACTCTGTGTTCCATACTGCCATGTATGAACCACACCTTCAGCAAAAAGAACATCACTGATTCTGCAAAGCTAATAAAGAACCTGGTGGGAACTAGAAACAGATGTTTCAGGCCATTGCTCATCCCTGGCTCCCTCTTCTAGTGGTGACACAACTCTGCTGCTTTTGCTCCTGCTTCTTCTTTTGGTTTGTCTCAAGTTCAAAATACCAGAGGAAGTAAGACCAATTTAGCCAGTCATCATAAAATCTACAGGCTACCCCTGTAAGGAAGAGATTTCATAGCAGACACCTTCATATGCCAACAGCCAGTCAGTGACCACTTTTAGCGCAGGTCCTGCTGGGATCAGGTTATTAGCGACATGGTACCGAGCCTGTTTGCTAGAAACTACTCAGGAAAGTAAGGTTGTAGAAGCCACCTACTTTGTCAAGTAGTGTACAAGAAGTTATTTATGTTATTATCCTTATTTTAAATATAAAAAAACAGGCTCAAAAGGACTAGTAATACCAAGTGGCAGTATGAGAATTAAGATTGACACTCAGGTCTTCCAGAGGATAGTCCAGTGATCCTTAACCTTTCTCCCATCTCAATATCCATGGGTTTAACACAATCCCTTTAGTAATAGTGGTTTGCCGCTTATGGGATGAGGATGACAGGAAAGACTTAATCAGAATTCAGAGGGAAGAGGCTATTCATAGAATTACTTAGAGTATTTGGTTAAAGTGGAGACTATGATAACCAGAACTAAGTGAAAGTTTTTTTCTCTCCTTGTTTGAATGTCCCCTATATATAAATTAGTGCTAAGCTTAAACTGTTCAATTTCTTCTTTATTAATATGTAGTAAGAAATTTTCTAAAAGTAAATTATTTCTACAACTTAATTTTAAGCTAACATCTGTCAAAGTAATGCAAACCATGTAACAATATTGTCAATTTTCAACTACATAATAAGGGGAATAAAAAAGCATTTTTAAAAAGGTCAGTTCTTCAATTATGTACAGTTAGTTGGCTCTGGAGTATTACTCAGTGAAGTATCTTCACTTTTAAACTTACACTTAGATCCAACATTTTCCTTCTAACTTGATTCTGCACTCTGCTCCTCAGAAATTTTCCCAAGCGTACTGAAAGGAACATTTATCAGTCTCATCTTTCAACAGCCAGCACTTAATTCTGGTTCTATTTTAAGTCTATCTTCTGTTCTTCCTTATCTTTACTTGATTCCCTTCAGACTAACTTCAGACATTGTAACAGAAACTACCTTCTTACATGCAAACAAAAACTGTCTCAGAGTCAGACTCAAAGTTTTCTACTCCCAACTTGCCTATTTTCAAGCTTTTATTTAGTGTTCAGTGTTTAATATCTTGACTTCTCAGAAACTTTTCTTCCTTATCTTCCCTTCCTATGAAATGAGGATGATCCTCCCAGGACTGTGGTGAAGATTATTCAGGAGAAGGTGAAGTAGCCATCATAAAGTCTGGTACACGAGAGCATCAGTGGCTGTCAATGCGTAACCGCTATCTCCTCCAGAATTCCTTGATGGTCCTCTCCTCCCATTCTGCCTTCCCTCTGATTTTCCTCTACAAGCTCTTCTTTTACTCTACCTCCTTTTTGAAGTTGTATGCCTGGACTGACAAAAGGAAACCTTCTTGAGAAGGTCTGTGGTTCCACTCTGTAAGTTCTTTTTGTTTTGAAATACCCTGAATGATGTAACCAATTCAGACACATCATTCTACTTTTACACTTCCATAAGGATTTTTCATCTCTAGGATAAAATATAAAATAATGAAATAAAATACAGTACCTTATCCCCCTGCTCTGTCCTTTTCCTATTTTGTAACTAGTAATACTCAACTGGATGTAGCTGGCACACCAGCATCATTTGTGAGGCCCTTGAAACAACACACCTCTATCCCATAGTTCTCACTCCTAGATAAATTCTTTGTGCAGTTCAGTGTGTAAAATACACTAATTTTTCTCCTGCCAAACTTTCCCCAAGTTCTTCTACATGTTTATAATGCCCTCTCATTCTTAGTCTCTTAAAGCCATAACATTCTTTTGCTGCTTTAAAAATCTCACACTAAGGCTAAGCAGTATGTAAATATTGAACTTCTGTAAAAAGATTTCAGAGGCTTTTATTCTGATATCTCAGTTTAGAAAGATCTAGTGACTAGGGTGCCAAGATGACAACCCAAGGCCTTGATTTTGTTATTAATTTACAGAAGCACAAAGAGGTTATAGAAATAACTAAATAATAAGATTATAATCTATGGATAGAAGTTATTTCAAGTACTGTGAAATATACAAGGGAGTTATTACTTTCTTTCCTGATCTACCACCTTTATCCTTCAGAAGTATAATATATTTTGAGAAAAAAATCACTGATACATAAATAGTAACTTTGGATTTTATTCTAATATCTCTTACTAATTTGCTCTGTGATTTAAGACAAGTCATTTAACCATTCTATGTCTCAATTATCTCATCTGCATACAGCTTTATACTGTGAGGATCACTGGAGTCACTCTTTCACTATCTACTAAGTACCGAGTGTTGCACTGACATGATAGAGCACATAAAGACGTAAGTGTTGTCTTCTCTAAACAGACCATAAACTCCTTGAGGACAATCTGGTATACAAACACAGAAATTAAGTAGAATGTTATATATACAATTAGGAAGGTTAAAAAAGTGTAATGATATTCAGAAAATGAAATAACTGCTACCAAGGGGAAAATCAGAAAGGGTAGCTTTTAAGCCAGGTCAGGAAAATCCATGTATTATGAACCACAAGAGCAAAGGAAGGAGAAGCGAGGGTGTCATCAGTGAATGCTAAATAGTACAGATTATAAGAAACAGCAAATATAAAGGTTTCCCTAGTAGGGAGTGATATCATCAGAGCATTACAGCAGAAAACTTGATCTGGCTGTCATGTATAAGATGAAGTACAGAGACCAGGACCAGAGACATTGGTTAGGAGGCTAATACAGTGATCTTGGCAATCCCCAAGTTATGAATGAGGAAGATTCTGTAGGTTTGTTCTTAAGTTGAATTTCTATGTAAGTCCAAACAGGTACACTTACCTATTACCTGTAATAGGTTCTGTTTTTGAATGCAAGCCATATATCAGTCGGATGTTTGTAACCCAAGGACTTACTATAACAACCTCAGTTTGTAAGTACATTTACCTATTACTTTTAATAGCCTCCATTCGTAAGTGCAAGCTGTATGTAAGTCATGTGTTTGTACTTAGATTTGTAAGTGCAAATCATACATTAATGGGACATTTATAATGAGGGGACTGCCTGGAAATGCAATCTCAAGATGTACAAAATGCAATTCATTACCATTGGTAAGCCCTGCCTCCACTGTACATTTTGTTTCTTAAGCATAGGAACATTACTGTTCTTTAGCTAGTATTATCAATTAAGGTCTAGACTCTCATACACACTATAAAGACAGAAGGAATAACTAGTCCTTCTATAACCTTAGAAACATACCTCTTCACTGGGAAGGGCTACATACTCAGGTTGTAGGGGTCTTGGAACTGAGAGACCGGGTCCTGGTAAAGACACATTTGACAGACGTCTCTTTCTTACTCCACTACAATTATTTGGAATCTTGAAGGCACATCGTTTATGGTAATTTAATCCACAGCCTAAATATATTTTAAAAGATAAAAGAAAAAAAGACTAAAAATACCTTTACTAAAAAAATAAAATAAAAATACCTTTACTATTTAAGTGTGATATATAAATATTGGTGCTTCTTTTATTAAATTACTTTTTCTGTTAGCAATATCTACCCTAACTAAGAACCCAGATGACAGGCTAAGTCAGCAGTTCTCAACTTGTGGGTTGTGACCCACAGGAACTATACTAAAGAGTTGCGGATTCAGGAAGGTTGAGAACCACTGGGCTAAGTGGAAGCTAAAAAATTGAAGAATAGGAAATGGGTAGAATAGTCCACTTAGAAAGGTTCATTTAGCCAGAGCAATGGTTCTTGAAGTGTGGCCCCTAAAGCTACCACCTGGGATTGTAACAGCAGCCTTAAGAGATAGCAGATACACCCAGCAAAACCTAAAATATTTACTCTCTGGCATTTTACAGAAAAAGTTCATTGACACTCCACCTTAGAAGACTGTTTCCTTAATTAGTAATGCACATCTGTGCCCTACGCCCTAGCAACTGTAATTCCAAACAATGTTGGCCATTTTTTTGTAAGGAAAATTAAAAAAAATATATACAAAAGCAATTCATGTAACCAAAACATTTATACCCCTGTAATATTCTGAAATAGAAATAAATGAAAAGAGTTAAAAGCAACATTGATATTTATTGAGTCAGTACATTTGGTGCAAAATATTTTGCCCTTATTACCTTATTTAAACCATTCACAAAACCCATGGGGTAGAACATATTTTATAAAGAAATTGATCCTTACAGAGATTTAGTAAGTTGCCCCAAAATATTAATGAGTAGGTTAGGAGAGAGACTCCTAATCTCTCCAATTCTAAATACTGGTTACTCCCTAGTCACCAACTAATAACCTTGTATTCTCAGTGATAATGCAAGAATGCAAGTAAGAAATCCTATTTTAAATGACCAGTAAAATTTTAGAACACCTACCTTCACATTTCAGTCCCTGACGTACCAATCCCCAGAGCATCTCGCCACAATAATCACAAAAAGTAGGAGCTTTGTAAGAATGTACATAGAGGGTATGTGGACGAATCTGGAAATCTTCTACTGTGGCCAAAGCTTTTAAAACAGAAAAGTATTAAAATAAACCTTAAACTTGAACTTGTAATTGCAATGAGATTAGGAATGTTCACCAGTTCATTTATGTGATAGGCCATTTTTCCTCTGCAAATTTCATCTGAGCACAAAAATAGATTACTTTAAGCATTTAATACAATGATTTTTTAAACTCTAGGAAGTTTATCAGCTTCAAATAATTTGAACTCCAAAATAGGTCCTAGGTTAGGGGACCTAACCTCAAAAGCATTTTCTCATAATGATAAGATTGCAAATAGGTCTATTTTAGCCAACTAAAAACTGTTTAACTTAAAATACACTGAGACATACACTAAAGTAAAAAATACTGTGGAACTTAACCTCAATTTACAACAAGGTTTCTCATGAAAAAAGACCATGAATCCTAACTTAGGATCCCAGCAGATACTCCCTGTATGTGCTCCATAGTTCCAATGCTTTAGAGAAAAGAGACTCCTCTCAGGGAGCAACAGAACATAGATGCAAGGATCTTTGCCTCACCTCAACCTATGAAAGTCATCAGTGGATTTCCGTGGGTCTGATGATGGGTCTACAAGCAGATGTGTCCAACCTTCAGGGGGCCATGTGCTGACTCTATGAGGACTGTTTTTGCAATTTGTGGTGTCAGATATCATGAAAAGTATTCAAGGATTTTTTTTGGCTAATTAGCTTTCCTTAGTGTTTGTGCATTTACCATGTGGCCCAAGACAACTCTTATTCTTCCAATGTATGGCAGAGAGGAAAAAAAAAGTTGGACAGTCCTGGATAGTGAAGAAAAAATGGACCTGAACATGATTTCCAGGGAAGACAGGGAGTGAAGCTCCTCAGGAGTAAAGAGGAAGACAAGGATAGGGAAGTACAGGGATGGTTAGGGTTGTGGGTATAGTTGAATGATCAAGGTGTGGGGGGCTAGATGAATGGGAGAATCAGAAATGTAAGATGAGAGGAGTGGGGGCTCATAAGAAAAGGTGATGGTCAGCAAAGTTCTCAAGAACATGCTGAAAGGTAAGTTTGGGAAAAGGAAATGTGTTAGCAGGACTATGAACTCTGGCTGACCGATTTGCTTTCTTTCTTGCCAAACAAGAAGTATCACAGACCTACATGTGTATTATTATGGCATTCCTTCTTCTTTTTCATTCCTCATTAACAATCCTGCTCATAAGGCTGTTAGATGACATCAGAAACAGTGGGAACTATGGAACAAAGTATGGCAAGAATGGGTGAGGTGGAAAAAAACACACTGAGAACAAAAAGGAGCATTTTTGTAAGCCATAGTGACATTGTAGTTTCTTCTCCTATCATCTTCATTACTTCTCTTTCTTTCCTAGCCCTCTTTTCTGAACCCCAATTCTCTTCTTTTATGCTTTTTATAGAAATGAGGAAAAGGGAACCAAATTTCAGTATAATTGTTTTCCTTGACTCAGATAAAAGTATATTCCTTTCAGTTCAAATGATAATTCCCTTACCTTATAGTAACGTTCAAGTAATTCTCAGTTTATTTTCTTATCTATGATATAACCTTCCTGAAAGTAAATATTATATGGCAACTATTATTATAGATGAAAGAAGTAAATAATAATAATACAAAGACCAAGTATAAGAAAACACATTTAGTATAGAAAATGAGGCTCTTTGAAAAAAAACTCTAAGAAAAAGAAAAGAAGCTATTTACTTACCCGAAAGAACAACTTCTACTAGGTCTCCTTCATGTATTTCATCTGCTGAGGTGATTAGCTGCAGAATATTTTCTGAGTTCATGTCATGGCGAAAGAGAAGAATTTTATCATACATGCCAAAGAATCCACACTCTGGAAACTGCAAGAAAATAAGTCTTGTATCAGTATACCTAGAACTTTCTATTTTTATTAGTAAATGTCTCAATTTTATGAAAAATTTTAAACATAATGTTTTTGTCTAACACTATTAAATCTAACTCAATTAATATCCAAAAGATGAACTACATACTTAAGCATCCTGATTAATTTTAAAGTTCAAAAAAAGAAAAAATAGACTCGGTACCTGTAGCTTAGTGCCTAGGGCACCAGCCACATACACCAGAGCTGGCAGGTTTGAACCCAACCCAGACCTGCCAAACA